CAAATCAGTAAGTGGAAAGTAAAATCCCAATGTGTATGAATAGTGGATAATGAGCTATAAATTGGCTCGCATATTTCAATCCAACAAGTTACAAATGATTTGTAGATGTTACGAAGGAGGGATTCTCTATGAATACATCAACATGCTTATGAGTAGAATGCAGAGATGTGTGACAAAAGCAATGACACTCTAATCAGTATGCTCATAATCAAAAACATGAAGCTTCCAGTAAGCATTAGACATACTAATTTCCATCGAAATGCAAATGCCATCGAATAATGCGAGAAGATGCACCTATCTTCTATAACCAAGGGGGATTCAACATGCATTGAATTGAAGGACATGACCTCTTTGAATAATTCAAAAAGGATATAGCTCTCATGCAATTAATATCGTTCAGCCGCAGACAAACACACCAGTCCCCAACTAGCAGAAGCAGAGAATATATAGCAAATACAAATTTTCAAAGACCTATTCTACATTCAACATGCTGTTTGCGTGCAAATGTGAAAGAATCGCAATAGATAAAAGCATCTATAATCTACAACGCCACGCCACCGGATCTGCAACATTCGTACAAGCAGACAGAAGGGGTCCACAAGTTACAACGCCACGCCACCGGATCCGCAACATCCACGCAAGCAGACAGAAGGTTTCTACAAGTACCTTCAAATTTCCCCCACACGTGCACCGTAGTTTGTATACACATAGGTACACTAAAATGGATAAAAGCAATTATAAAACCCGCATGGGCCCCGGCGAGTGTGTTATTGGTATACACATGACGTCTAGGGATGCTGCGCGGGTCAATAAAGTTGAACCCGATCCTCCTAAGCAGGTAAATAGGAGTCGACAAGGTTCAACAGATAATTACAAAATATCCCCCAAACACCGGCATGGGCCCCGGCGAGCATGTTGTAGAAATACATGGGGTGTCTAGGGATGCTGCGCGGGTCAATAAGTGAATTCAAGTTCGAGCCCGATCCTCCTATGCAGGCCAACGGGAGTTGACAAGGCTCGAACTCTTAAATAAATATCCGGTCGTGAGGTCGACTGAGATATTTATTTTGTACATTCATATTAGGCCTTCAGCCATGGGTTGCTTCGTCCAAGGGGACCTTGTAGACTTGGGGTGAATGTTTGTCTAAGGAGAACAAATTTGGATCCACCTTAACTTACAGAGGATTTTGTGCCCTATCGATCATATCCTATTGATTCATATCTCAAGGATTTGATGCCAATAAGGAGAGTATCAGCGCTGGTCATAATCGGTATTTCGTGGTGCCATTTGGCGGCAAAACCACTTGGTTCAGAGGGCCCCGGGTCGTCATAACCGTTTATCCTGCGGTTTCATTTGACGGCAAACTCGTCGGTTAGAGGACACGTACCACGTCCTTACTGGCAGGAGATTGTTTGAGAATGGATCCTAGTGATATTTTCGACTAGACATTAGCTCTTTGTGAGCTGAAGTAAATTTTGATTTGTTCACCCAGACAAATTATTGCGGAGGGTGGATGGATTTTTGCTTTAAGTGCTTTATGGTTGAATTTTGATTTTAAATATCTTTGGGTTTTGGTAATTTGGGATTTGCGAAGTTTCGGATTTGTGGGTATTTGAGTAGAGCTTGCAAGTATTTTGAAAGTATTTGTGAACCCCTCCGGTTGAGATTTACATTCAACACAGCCATCATCGAGGTGTATGGGGTCATTTCTATTTGTAGCTTGAACCTTGTCGACCCTATTAACTTGCCGATAGGGGATCGGGTTTCGTAGGCTTCATGTTTTTGTTAGTGAATTCTTTTGATTATAGGTCTTACCGACAAGGATCCTTCTGTCAGGTTGGGTCGACTACCTCCTCTGACTAAGTAGACCAGGGACCACGATGGCCCGGGACGACGGAACCATGGGATCTTGATCGAGCCTATCATCCATTCCCCCACCAACCGCTTTAAGTGCAAGATGGTGCAATTTTCAATTTTAAATACCAAATCCTCAAATATCTCAACCCAAGTGCCCAAACTTTCTAATTTTTCAAATCCAAACCCGTGCTGCTACTATATGTCTGATACCACGTATCTATGGATACAATGTATCTGATTGATGACTAGCCTTAATCGAAAGTTTTCTCTCGTTATCGGGAGGGGTAATTAACTATAAGGGCTTGCGCTTATAGGAAACAGAACTCAGATCATAAAGTCCTCATAAAATGAGGGCGAAATCTCTGGGTAGTGTATTATCTACAAACTCATCTACCTTCCAAAATTTACCCCGGAACTTAATCCGTTAAAACTCCCTTGCCCAAAAAGAAAGCAACAATGTGCGGCGGGGAGGCCGGGGCTGAATTTTCGGAGCCCACACACACAAAATCAAGCAAACATACATTATGCAAGTACACTAAAAAACATGCATTTGCATGGGCCCGGAAGAGCATGACAAGTGTATGCACGTAACGTCTGAGGATTCTGTGCTGACTAATAAAAATAATAAATTAGTTTTAAATGTACTATGAAAAGTATACAAACATATCGTACAAATACGCTAACATGTATAATGTCATTCAAGATGATTTTCAAAATATCCGTATGAGCTCCGACAAGTACATTATGCTCCTAAACCCTTGCCTAAGAATGTTGTTCAGGTCAAAAGAAAACTTAAGTTTAAGTCTGATCCTCCTCTTTGAGTGGACTGGAGCTGGCGAATAAAACCAAAGAACAAATACATAATCATAATGTCGACCGGAGTATTTGATTTTATACATTCATATTAGGCTGCCAAGGCTTTTTATAAAAAAAAATTCACCACCAAAATACAAACTCTCCAAACTTGCGTTGTTGAACTAATTAAAGTATTTAATTTTATATGTTCATATTAGTCCTTCAATATTTTTCGTGAAGAAAATTCATATATTATAATACATACACTCAATTCTGAAATTTATACAACACCAAAAATTAGGAGTTGAACACAATCCTCTATTGGCAAGCAAATAGAGTCAACAAAGTTTAAATAATAAAAGAAATTTACTTATATTCCCCGATGATGGTCGTGTTAACAGAAAATCTCACTAGAGGGGTCCCTACCTTTCAAAATACAAAAACCCCAACGCAAAATAAAAATATATTTAAAGTGACAATAAAGTCACCACGATAATGGCCATGTTGACAGAAAATTTCAACCGGAGTGGACCCAAACTTTCAAATTACTCAAACCACAATGCAAAATACAAATATATTCAAAGTGACAACAAAGTATCCCGATGATGGCCGAGTTGAAAGTTAATATATATCAGATTAATTTCTTTCTTTTAAATGCAACTACGAGAATCTGATTTTAGTTCAAAACTCAAAAATCACAAAAATTGGAGATATTCAAGATGAAATAAATCACCTAATAAGTTGAATCAAAAATTCATCCACCGTCCAAAACGATTTCTCAAGATGGATAAATTTAAAAATTACTTCATCTCACAAATAGCGAATATCTAATCAAGAATATTACTATAATTCATTCTTAAACCATTTCTTGTCAGTAAGGACGTTGGGACGAGGCACGTGTCCTCTAATTGGTGGTTTTAATGCCAAATGATATCACAGGTAAAAGGTTATAACCAGGGCCATCTGATCGGGTGGTTTTGCCGTCAAATGGTACAACTACATTACTATCATGGCTAAAGTATGTATATTCCCAATGGTTCTAAATACTTTGACTAATGAATTTAAAAGGTATAATTGATAGGGCATAAATTCTTTTGTTTAGCTAAGATGGACTCAAATATGTACTTTTAAACAAACATTCACCCTAAGTCTGGGTACCCTTGTATGATGCAATCCATAACTGGCAACAAGGACCCTTCAGTCAGATTGGATCGACTATCTCCTTTGACTAAGTAGGCTAAGGACTATGACAACATGGACTGATAGAATTATAGGATCTTGATTGGGCCCATCATCATTCCCCCATTACCCACTCTAAGTGTAAGGTAATAAATTTCAAATCTCAAAAAAATATTAAATCTAGTTTTAAATTCCTAATGTTGCTACCACTATAAATTGGATACTACATATATATTCAAAGACTAGTCTTAATCGAAAGTTCTTGCTTGTTATTGGCAGGAGTAATTAACTATAGGGGCATACAACTATAGGAAACCAGAACATATCATAAATTTCTCGCAAAATGAGTGTAAAATCTCTGGATAGTGTCTTATCTAAAATGCAATCTGCATTATGAAAGTTTACTCCGGAACTAAACTCTCTAAAACTGTTCTCACCGACAAAATAAGGCTTGGACTGGCTAGGACAAAAATTTTCAGAGCCTACAGACATGCATAGAATTGAAAATTATGCCCTTGTTAAAAACCAAAGTAAATCAAATTGATTAATCTATTAAATTGTCAGATCAATAATAGAACTTAGAATAAAGGAAAAGAAGGAAACAATTCACTAAAAGATAGAAATCAAGCCACGTGCTTATGTATAGGGATATCCTCTCCCAATATTTCTTATAGTTATAAGATCCATTGAAATCCTACAACAATCAAATACATCAAACACTAGGACGGAACAAAAATTCCCAATGATAGAAGAATCTATAGAAGATCAATCGCAGGAATCACCAAAAACACCATGTTGCAATAGCCGCAATTCGTGATATATTCAAAACAAAAAAAGCTGTTGATCAATTGCAAATCCTAGTTGCAACAGAAGTCCATAAGTTAAGCATATCCAATAAGAAGCTACTAGGAAGAGGAGAAAAACAAGAATTGTGAAAAGGACCTGCGGCCATTAGAGAATTTTAGGAATAGTGGTAAGGAGCCGTGAATAGTTGTTGGAGAGTAGGAGAACACAGAACCAAAGAACAAAAAAAATTAAAATCAAGCTGATAATGTGTGGCAAGTATGATTACGGCAAAATCAAGCTTTCTTCGCTACAACATAATGAAAGCATTAATATAAAGTGCGAACCAGCCCAAATGAAATTTAAACTTTGAAACTTTGCTAACCTGCAAGATTCACCGTTTTGAATTAACTTCTCTAAAGTGTCCACTGCTAAGGCATGTTTTATTTCCACCTGAACATTCATGTCGTGATTAGAAAGAGTTTCTGAGACGATACAAATCAATTTAACGCATAACAACATCCAAAAAGTCAGTAATATTTAAATATAAAAGGAAATAATTTATCACAATGCATCACACAACTTTGACTCAGAGACGCTAAGAGGTTAAACTTAGGCAGAAAACCTATATTTCCATATAAATAAAGAGTAAACAACAAAATGTTAACCATTAATTGATTGTTTATGGTTTACCATCAACATTGTTAAAAAATCAATTATACCAGCAGTACACCAATATCAAACGATATTAAATATAACACTTCATTCAAAAATTCAGAAAAAACGGATCATGCCACCAGGGAAACTGATATACCATGAAAAGAGAGTATACTTGAAAACAAGGGTTAGAGTTATATAAAAGGTGTGAAACAATGCATGGCAATTATTTACGTCTTTGTCTTAAACAGAAGCAAAAAAAAAAGCTTGTACTGGAAAGATTATTGTTCATTGACGTGAATATTTGGTGTTCACCACTTCAGCCACATTGCTTACACTGAAATTTGTCAAAGAGCATTTTGAATATTAGGATAGCAGTGCTATTTCTTTTATTTTTAATTGAAATATATTCCAAATATTTGAGGCCACTAAGTGAGGGCTCCAAAAGTTCATTCCCAGCTCTTCCAAGTGATATTGGTTTTGAGTCAAATCTTAAGAAGGTATATTGGATTATACATAAGAAATTACCAAGAAATTTTGCCCTTATTTTGTGAGGAATTTAAGATATGATTCAAGATTTTTCATATGTGCAAGCCCTTCAAGTTGATTATCCCTCATGATGAAAAATAATTTTAAATTAGGTTAGACATTAGGAGCTAAGTTCTTAGCTTATAATAGCAACAATTTGATTTTAGATTGAGAAATTTGCCACATATAATTTAAAGTGAATGGTGGATCAAATGATAATGGATCAAATCAAGAAACTATAATTTCGTCATCCTGAGTTGTTGTATGCTATGGTTAACTTAATCAATAGAGATAATCGATCCAACTTGATAGAAGAATAGTTGTCAGTAACCATGAGTTGTGTCATCCAAATGAACCTTATAAGTTGGGTTGAATGTTTGCCCAAGTAGATAATTTTTAATCGATCATCGCTAATAGAGACCATTATGCCCTGTCATGTATGCTCCATAATCATTCAGGGTTAAGCCATAGAAGAATTTATGAGCCTTAGATTTGATCATAATTTAATGGTGCATTTTTTGGTTAACCACAAAGTTAGATGGCCCTGATTTTGTCTTGATTTTACTCAACACAGCATTCTCTAAACTTTAAGTTTAAGCATTTAGAATATTTAACGAAGCACATGCGAACAATTTAGTGTAACTTTTAGAGGATGTTCATGCTTTTCATGGCACTTCAATGACTTTTAAAGCAATGTATTTAAGTTAAAGATTACCTCACAAAGTATGTGCAAAACTTGAAATTATCTGAATTTGATTAATTGTGTGAATATTATATCATTAAGGTGCCCGCAATTATTTATTTTGGCTTTAAAATATCACATTCTATCCACTTGTAAGAAGATGTTACATATTCAATTGTTAATTTACAAGTAAAATTTTTTATCTATTTCAAAATGTCATAATTTTGCCCACCTATGGCTTGTATTTTTCTTTAATAGGCTTCCTGAAGCATTAGCTTTCCACCTATATAGAAGAGAGGCCCATAATTCATCATCACCATTCAAACTCATATTCAATCCATACTTCTTAAGATTCTAGAAATAATAAGGAAGTTATATTCATACTTTCAAGTTCATTATAAATCCCCAGTAAATCTTATTCAATTTCTATTTTATTCCTTGATATTAATCTTAATCATTATCTTTTTTTTTTATTTTGCCCCTTTTTTATTGTTATGCTGCAATTTGTGTCCAAATGAGCGAATTTAATTCTATTTTATTCAAGTCCTGTCGGTCTAAATTTTTACAAATAGTCCAACATCATCCACAAGGATAAAAAGGGAATGATGGGTATACCCTCTATGCCAAAAAAAAGGCATATATGAGTGGTGTAAATACCACGTTAGGGTCTTCTAGTACCACAATACCAAGAAAGCTGTGTATGGGTCTTCATACCTGCATAAAAATTTGTAACACAAGATTTTCCTACCGCAACAAGAAAAACTCGTGCATTGCAATCAGTGTGATGACCCATTAAATATTTGTGACACAAGATTTTCCTCTAAATTTCTGAGTTTGTTGTGTTCGCAACTTCATGAATCTTTCATTGTCATGCAAAGATGATTCAAATCTAGCATAGCGAACTTGTTTGATAATATTTGCATTGCAATCAGTGTGATGACCCATTAATATCTCATTGAAATTTTGTGCTTTGATTGCCATCATATCCTTGCACTCTCCAATTAACCTTTGTTTGTGAATAGACACTATTCGTGAGGGTTGTACAACATGGTTTGTTTGTAAATGAATCATTGCATTATGAATTCTTCCCTCATATTGTTCTCTACATTCATTACGGACCCTCTTACATTATGAATGAGTCATTTGGTGGCATGAAATTTCATTATTGCTTGCTAATGAGTTGTGCTTGCAGGAGTTTGATATATCGGCTCATGTTTGTAAAACTTGCATATTCTAGTTCTCCTCGTAGTGCTTTCAACCTTCTATATATAGAATCGTTGGTTGACTGATATGAGCATGATGCGGGCCACCGCCGACGCCGACCGGCAGAGGGAGGGCCGGCTACCCCGCGGCGCGCAGAAGCAGCCGGAACGGGCGCCGCGCCGTTCGATCCGCCGAAGCAGGGATGCGGGAGGGTGACGCGGAGCGGGACGGGGCCGATCGGCTTTTTGGGGACCG